AAAATATTAGAAATATTAGAAATGTAAATGCGGATAAATGAAAATAAAAGTACAGCCATGGTGAATAGTAGTGAGTAGAGACATTAACAGGAACTACAACATTATCAGGTGGTGCAGGTGTTGTAGAGCCTGACAGCAGCCGGGATGAAGGACCTGCGGAACCTCTCCTTAAAAAAACTTACACCGTGGGTGTAACAGTCTGCAGCTGAAGGAGCTGCTCAGGGACCCCACAGTGTCATGTAGGGGGTGAGAGGTGTWGTYCATGATGGATSTCAGYTTAGTTAACATCCTTCTCTCCCCCACTTCCTCTATGGAGTCCAGAGGACAGTCCAGGATAGAGCTCACCCTTCTAATAAGTCACATGGCGGCCTCCGTAGAGAGGGTCCCCTCCATGTAAATATTAAGTATTTAAATATAAAGGGTCTTTTCTGGGGTAAAGAAAACTACAATTCATACAATTTAGATGAAACGAACTAGTGAAAACATCAAGAGGATTATTCTACATTACATTTCTGCCAATAGATCCCTTTCACCTAAATCTTACACTCTGGACACAGGGTCAAAATCAGAAGGGATCTCCAAATCTGCTGTATATGAAGCTCAAAAATGTCCCAAAATGCAGATTTGGAGTCAGCACCCCTTAATTCCCCTAGATATGTTGTATATTATAAATATTCACAAAATGCCTTCAGCACTTTAAATAAGCACATTTTCAGAAATTCTGCCTAGACTACACTGGACCTTTAAGATAAAATAAGACTTTATTATTCCTGAATGCAATTCTTGTGGCAGCTTGCTCCTAGATTACAGTAACGTTTTAAAATACAATAGAACAGAACAGTGAATAAAGAATGAGCTCTAAGCATATAGTGTATTGTAAATGAGAAAAAAAATATATGTATATCGTTTTCAGAACCAATAGTAAATATCAATAGTAATGAGGGTAAAATAAACATGTAACATGAGACAGAGAAACTAATACTAAAGTGGCAGTAAGAAATGATAAAGTAATATAGTACATTGCACATGTTATAATGATATTGCATGATATTGAGATATGATGATGAAAGAAACTGTAACATTACACATATCCAAGTGTCCATAAGCCCCGACAAATTCAAATTCAACTCAAAACGGTGTCATTACCACATCTTTCTAGCCTCAAAGTCCTCCTCTCGAGCCGCCCTTACATGTGGATCAGAGAGTTTGAAAAAGTGGTCACAAGTCACTTTAATTGTATTGAATTTCACTGCAACAGTGTTTACCTTTTAAACTCCAAAAGTGTTTTGTGGACTCAAACACCAGCCTCCATCGACATAGTGGGTGAACTATCCCTTTAATAGAAGTCATTTACATGATTTGATTAAATGTAACTTCATGCACGAGGCATGGTGAGATTCTGCTGTTATGAAGCATTGTGGATGATAAGAAGGAAGATCAGCTGATCCTCCTCAGGGGCCCAGACAGCTCCACCTGCAACAAGAACTTATGTGACCTCCTCCTCACATTTTAAAATACCTCTTTGGAACACACAGAAACACACAGCAGGAAAAGGAAGAGGTTTCTTTTGGTACATTCAAAACATCTTTAATGATTTGAAAACAGAGATTTTGGCAACATTATGACATTAACACAAATCATCTCTTTAGGTGGGCATAATTGTTTCTTTTCTACATTAAGTAACAAAAACAAAATGGCAGATGAGAAATAATGCATAAAATAAAATGAACCTGCACACTTAATAATCGTAAATTAAAAACAACCAAACAATAACTGACTTTATAAGTGCATATAAGCACCCTGGGGATGTTGTCTGGGTCACCTTGGTAACCCGAACCCCTAAGCACTTCACTCCACAGCTTGATCATAGGCAGAGGTGTGCGCTCCATGTTAAGCATGAAGCACTCAGTATATTATATCACTATTTGTAAGGTGAATGCCTTTTGCCTTTATGAAACTTATTCAGTTCATACTGAGTTTTGGTCATAAACATATATGTTGACGATGGTGTCTCTCATGCATTGGAACAGGATGACATCTATGTTTTCATGGGATAACAGAATCCTTAACCATGAAAAAGTAATAAACATCTTTTTGGATATGCAGCTGGTGATGACTGAGTCTATCAAAAACTATTCAGTCTGTATCTAAAGCTGGATATCTCATATTCCTCCCAGCCAGAGAGCTGCACTTTTGTCCACATACTACACTGATACACCAGGTGACACGTTCCGTCACGTTAAAGTAACATTTGCTTCAGACTACAGCTCCCAGAAGCATTAGAACCCTTCAGTTGGAACCTAAAGGCCTGTGCCAGAAAATATTGACGTATGCACCAACACATGAAATGTTTTGTTTTCAAAATGAAATTGACCACCAAAAAAAATAAAATAAATTTTATATATATATATATATATATTTTGACGGCGGGGTGTGGTTAGGGCGCCAACTGCTGGACAACAGTGAGGAGTGGCTCAGCCGGTGATCAGRCAGCTGTGCAGARTCAGGTRATCAGGCCATCAATAAGAGCACGCTGGTAACCTGCTTCTGCTCTATTGTAGTAGGCTGGCGTCCTGAGGAGAGAGCAGCGGACAGACGTGTGTGGGTTGAGAGACCCGTGTCAATATATGTGTGTGGTTGCCAGGAGAGGCAACCTGAATAAAGACATTGAAACGCCATTCTCTCCTCCCGTAGTTTCCCGGAGTGGGCCGAGTATTCCCACAGTGGCACCTGAACAGGGACCTGAGAGGAGAGCATGGAGGGCAGCAACAGACACAGGCACTCGCCAACATCGCGGCGTATCAGCGAGAGGACCGGGCTCTCCTGCGGGAGCTGATTCAGCGTCCGGCCACCCCGCCGCCCGAGCCAGGGACCAGCTCCAGGCGGCCGCCGGCGGTGGCCCTCCAGCGGATGACACCGGAGGACGACACGGGGGCATACCTGGACCTCCTCGAGGGCACGGCGGAGGCCTGCGGGTGATCGGAGGAGGAGAGGGCTGTTCGCTTGCTGCCGCTGCTCACCGGTGCGGCGCAGCTGGCYGCCCACAGTCTGCCGGCTTCCTCTCGGCATGATTACCAGCGGCTGAGGAAGGCAATCCTGGACCGGCTGGGTTGCACGCCGGAGGGACCCCGACGCCGGTTCAGGGGCCTCGCCTTCGAGGAAGCCGGCCGCCCCTTCTCCTACGCGCAGCAGCTCCTTGGTGCGGCGGGAAGATGGCTCCAGCCGGGACACAACACGGCGGAGGACGTCGTGGGGCAGKTGGCGCTGGAGCAATTCATCGCCGGCTTGCCCACCTCCACGGCCAACTGGGTCCAGTGCCACCGCCCCGGGGACATCCAACAGGCGATCATCCTGGCGGAGGACCACCTCTCACTTCCCCGGAGGAGCCAGAAGGAGGAAGCCCGGCAGCAGTCCATCCCGGCGGGGCGCCCCATACCCGCCCCAAGAAAGCGAGTCCCCCCAGCACTACCCGGCGGGACTGATGAATGAAAAGAGCAGAGGCTGTTCCTCGGGGCTCAGCCTACGCGTCAGGTCGACCGGCACCATGGGGGGCTCCTCAAACGCCGGGGCAGGAGTGCTGGCGGTGCGGCCAGTCGGGCCACTTTCGGCGGGAGTGCCCGCTGATGGAGGTGGGGCAGCTGGTCAGGGTGGCCGGGCCACCACATATATATATATGAAGAATCAGAAATGTAATCCTCAGTATACCTGCATGCTTAACACAATAATATTTGAAAGCACATAATTGTTTTGCAGTGCACATGTGAATGGCTCTTGCATACTTACAGTTATGTGCCTCTTACTCATATTAACTGGTGATCAGTGAGCAGATTGTTTTCTCCTCGGGGTGCAGCCTCAACAATCAGTGTATTCAAAAAAACGTGAGTTTTCTTCCCCAGCAAAAAGAATTGAAATAAATGTACAAATCAGCAAAAAACATATACTGAGGTTGTTTATCATACGTTGTGTGAAAATGAGGTAAATGCATAAAACAAAATCAGGTTCATCACTTTTTGTGTGTTTATGTATATGTACATGAATAAACATCTAAAAGGCAAAAAACACATCAACAATTGACATGTAAACTTGTGTCTCAAATATAAAAGTAAATCATACAAACGTTGGGCTGTTAGAAGATTGTTTCACAACACAAATCTGGGTTCTACCTACTCCACAGCGTTTACTTAGCCCCAGTCACAAACATTGTCATTAATTGAAACCATCCAAGTACAAAAAACACAAACATACATTAAATACAGAACAATCTGCTTCATGTAAAGCAGCTAACATGTATGGTGTGCAAAAGGAGGACACTCATTTGGTCTCTGTCCTTGTTTTGTAAAACATTTGTGTTTTAATTACAGGTTAACAAGAGAGTGCAAGATATTTTGGCTGAAGTCCTTCTTTCATCTTTGTCCTACTATCTAATAGATGGGCCATCATATGTTGATGTCATTGTTTTAAGGCAGAAGTCACACAGAATTTATCTTTGAACCCAAAACAAAGGCCTAAATCTGCTGTCACTAACTCATCAGCCTGCTTTGTACCAGGTAACATACTTCTCCTGTACACTGTAGATATAAGTTGTGTTTCAAATCAGTTCCTGTATGGCTTGAGTGAGTTGACCAAAGGTCAGTCCATTCTGGTGATGGTGACATTATCTCCCACTTCCTCCCCCTCAGAACACTGTGCACTTCCTGCCTCCCTTTTTGACAGGCGGAGGGCAAAGCACAGCTCGGATGGCCTCGTCGAAGACTGTCTTCAGCCCTCGCTGCGTCAGAGCGGAGCACTCCAGGTACTTGACTGAACCTACCAGAGAAACAGCCGAAGATATGAGGACATGGGGTCAAAAAGCAAGTTCACCTACACCTCCAGCTATTCCCAAAACATGTTTTTATCTATTCTTACTAATCATTTTCTATTTCCTCCATTCCAATGTACATGAGATAAGTAATCCATCCATTATCCACACCACTCATACTTTGAGGATCTCAAGCGGGCTGGAGCAAATCCCAGGTCAGCAGCATATTGCAGAGCTGACATATAAGCTGCTTTCAACTGAACTCCAGAGATCCTCTGGACTTTCCTCTCAGTGGTTGCAAATGTCCAAGTGAGAGCCTCCGGTGCTTCTGTGGCCAGCCACCAAGTATTAAGTCGACAGAAACATAGCAGGAGATCCTCTGTAGGATTCACCGTCAGCCAGAGGTGTGCTGATGATGCTTCTTACGCAAAAAAATAAAGACTAAATAAAACAAATATTTACCACTCTGCCTGCTGCAATGTCCAACCTCACCCGCTACACACTGTACCACCGTGCCATCCCAGTGAGTATTCCATTTTGACAGAGTTTTGGTTGACTTTTGGTTGGCAGTATGTCCAAGTATACTGAATGTACCAGTATGGAAAAGTATAATAATAAAGAGCTGAAAACGAACTAAACTACTGCCTCTCCACCTGATTCACTGGTGAGGGAGGTTTCCTCACAGAGTTCGAAAAATGTGTGTGAAATATTCTACACTTGAAATATTCACCATCAACAGGAGCCATCTCAGCAAAGTAGCAGAATTGAGAGCAAATACATATTGTGAAAAACTATACATCATCTATTTTAATTTACCCACACACACATTCTGTACACACCGATCTCCCTGGCCATGGCCAGACCCTGTGGGTAGGTAATGGGGGAAAGCTTTTTGTCTCTCAGTCGTTCTATGGCATCCTTGTCGTCCCGCAGGTCCAGCTTGGTGCCCACCAGGATAATGGGCGTGTTCGGGCAGTGGTGACGCACCTCTGGATACCACTGCAAAAAAGGATGCAGAGGTCAAAGGTCCAACCAAAGACACAGTGAGAAACACATCACAAAGCACCATTAAAGTAAAGTTCTGCTGATCCCTTGGCAAAACAGTGACGCTGTAAACAACGCGTTCTCATGTAATTACAACTGATTCTATTCAAGACACCATCACATTTTGTTATGGGCCATTTTGTTAGTCTGAAGAACAGCACCAAGTTCACAGCCCAGCATCAACAGTGAAACTGGAGGAAATTTGGGGATTTGGTGAAAAAAAAAACATTAAAATGTTTGTATTTTTCATTTGGAGCGGTAAAGCCTATCACTTGTGTACAGTGAGTGGAAGATATTTTGTTATCTTCATATTGATAATGAGCTGATGGATCAGCACCTTAGCTCGGACGTTCTCAAAGGAGGCCGGGCTCACCAGAGAGAAGCATATCAGGAACACATCCTGTACAGAGAGGACAGAGAGTTACAAAGACAAGGACAACCCACATTCAAAACCTTCACAAGTGACATGAGAGTGGAGGGTTATGAGTGCTTGTGTGTGTTCCTTTACTTATATCTTTGTGAGGACTATTTTAAGCATAGACCATACAGAGTGAAGATTTGTTTTTGAGGGTTAAAGGGAAGGTTCACTGAAATAACCAGGACTAACTGTACTGCACAGTCCAGTCTCCAGTGTTTAACCCTCATGCTTAGATATTTTTCATAACATAACAATTCTGATTCAGGTTCAGCATTTAATTTGGGTGGTTAAGGTTAGGGTAAGAGGCTAGGGAATGCATTAAGGCCACACTAAGATAGGAGTGCAAACGTGTGTGTGTGTGTGTGTGTGTGTGTGTGTGTGTGTACCGTCTGAGGGTAGGACAGGGGGCGGAGCCTATCATAGTCCTCTTGCCCCGCCGTATCCCAGAGGCCCAGATTGACAGGTTTACCATCCACCATCACATTTGCTGAGTAGTTGTCAAAGCTTAGAGAATTTGAAACAAAGCAGCTCAGTATGTAAGTTATTGTATATACACACCAATTTCATGATTTCAGTTTCTGAATGAGAAGGTGCAGCTGTACTCACACAGTGGGGATGTACTCTCCAGGGAAGGCATTTGTGGTGTAGCTGATGAGCAGACATGTCTTACCCACCGCACTGGAAAGAGCAGAGGATAATAACACATGGTGAAACATACAGCGTCATGACAGCAGAATCAGGAGTGCTGCAACAGTTATTCCCTGATTCTATCCACATGGAATGAGTCAACACTTTTAAAGGTTTCAGTGTGTAGGATTTAGTGACATCTAGTGGTGAAGTTTCCAGCGGAACACCCCTCACCTCACCCCATAAAAAGTCAAAAGGTTGTTAGTTTGTCCAGTTTGGGCTACTGTAGAAAACATGGTGGCCTCCGTAATGAGGAGCTGCTCCAGATATGAATATAATGTATTTAAATATAAACGGTCCCATTCTAGGAAAACAAAGATTCGCACAGTTTAGATGAAACACACCAGTGAAAACCTCACAAGGATTATTTCATATTTGATTTCTGCCAGTATATCCCTTTTACCTCAATCTTGATGAATCCATCCTTTTTAAAAAAAATAATAATTCAGTTCTCCATAACAACATTCCATCATTTGAGGTTGGTTCATTTGAGGGAAATGTGATTTAAATTCTCTAACTGCAATAGCAATATATTCTTCTGTATTCTCATCCCCAAGACAAAACAGCCACATCTGGTAAAAACGGTCAATAAAAATGTAGTTTCTAAGTTTAACCTGATTTTTCCACTAGTGGTGAGTTTGCAGATTGCAACCAACTGAACAGCCCTCGCCTTATCCACAGACTCGAAATCTTCACGTCATGTAAAAACAACGTGAGATGTTTCTATATCAAGTGACAAACACAAGGGCCCAGAAAATATAAAGGAAGTCAAGGGAAGACAGAGAAAAAGAGTGCACTCCGCTGATAATGCCATGCTTAGATTTGGCATGAGCAGATTAGGATGAGACAAGTTTATCTCTGTGGAAGCAGCAAATTCAAATTGTAACATAAGACATCCCAAGGATGACATTTAAAAAACTAAAAGGAAGACGCATGGATGGTTCTTAATGTTTCAGAAGAACATTTCTGCTTTCCTACTAATTCACACTCATTCATGTCCTTACACATTTATTTGTCCTATAATTGAATATTTTGATTTTATGCTGCTATATTCTTCTACTCCACTAACTATTTCAGCAGACAGCTCTCCAGCTCTCTTCTGTATGTGTGTATTGGTAAAAGGGGATGAGTAATAGAGCTCCAATAACATACATGTCCATTCTTCAAAGGATTATACAGACAGTTTGAAGTTCATAACTTTTGTCATATTTCTGCTTGAGGTTATTGTAAATTGCAAGTTAGCACAATCGGAGAAAATGGAAGAGAAGTCAACGTGGCAGAGAGAGCCTGACCAGTCTCATCCCTGGTTGTGAATCTCTCAGGATCTGCCTCAAAGTTGGCAAAACGGCCCTTTAGTTTGAGGGCACATCAAGCTGACAGCTAGGTTGCCATTTAGAGTTTGCTTTGTATAACTGCCTGAGAGATACAACAGCTCGGTGGCAATGTAGCCTTGAGTTATTCTTCCATCTGTCAAGATCCGGTCAACGGTCTCCTGCGTGCTGATGGTTAAATAAGCCTTCAAGGATGGAGGTCATCTAGCAGGCTCCCTGTGCCGTGTTTGAAATGAGCATCTCACCACCATGCCACCACGCTGTAAGCAGGGACACCCCTTCACCACGCCCTCGTGGACCTCCTCCTGTGATGAGCCCTGGGGCCCAAGGTAGCACATGACTGCACAAAAGCTGACATCCATTTTCTCAGACAGTGCCGAGTTGCAATTTTCAATTACGAATGTCAAAAATATCACAATAGCTTTTTACTACGAAGTGTCGGCATAATCACAGCACATGCATGAGGAAAGAGCTGGATAACGAACGTGTCAATCAGCTCTTGCATAAAACAAAACAGACTGTTACATATTCATCCTGAATATTACACATTCTGCCAACACATTTACTGAAGTACAATTCTGACAGCAGTGATCAAACTTTGTCGACTTCCACTGCTGGTGACTTGTAAACGAGTCCAAATGTGTAGAAACCTTTTGATGCCACAACACAAAATGCAACAGGGGGTTTCTGGGAGGATTCACACAGGACACACAGTGGAGACATGTTCCGACACTGCAGCAGCATGAGCAGTGTGTCTGCTGAGTAGGTGTGACAACATGACATCATTAGACAAAACAGACAGCATGCACACGCACACACACACACACACACACACTATACAGGTGATCTTGAGGTACAATGAACAAATACATGGTTTCAAATCATTACTTCTACATTAAACCTCTGGTGGTGATCGATCCCATTTCTTCATCATCACTTCATGTCAGATTTGCACGCCCCCCCCCCCACTGTGGAGAACAGTGAATGTCGAACATGCCTCCTCTGTCGGCTCATGACATGAACTCACCCGTCGCCCACCACCACGCATTTGATGGCCTGCATGTCGAGAGGGAGGGGGGGGGCGCTGCTGTCCCGTTCACTCAGGGAGACAATGTGCCACCACCTGCTTCTTCTTCTTCTTCTGCTGCTGCTGCTCCTGCTGCTGCTTCGCTCACAGTCATCAGTGGAGCTGCTGCCACTGAGCAGCCGAGGGGCTGGAGCACGAAGTGTTCCGGAAACCAACGAACGCTTTTAAAGGGCCAGTCCGCTGTGCGAGCTGCTGCAGAGGGTGACTGACTGGTGGACTGATTTACTGTCTGTCTGATTGATTAGCTGACGGGCTATCCGACTGATATGCACTGAGCAGACATTCTCTGGAGTTTGCCTCTCACACATGATCAACAGATCTCTGGAGCGTTGTCAGGCAGAGGCAGAATGTAACTTATGTGTCATACATGTCACTGAAGTCGGCTCCGATTGACTTGAGTCTCATTATATGATCACAGATGTGCAGTTGTAACTATAACTGTCAAATAATTGCAGGGAAGTAAAAAGTACATTTCCTCTGAACTGCAGCAGAGGACGCAGAAAGGAAAGTGAATATTTATGGAATGAACCCCTCAAACTTTAGTACAGTGATCAAACCTAAGTGCAATGAAGGATATGAGCCTTTTAAGCACAAGTGAAAGTGTCATGACTGAAGACTATGCAATAGTAAGTACACAGATGCACAATGAAAACACTGATATCTTTATTGCTTGACCTGCTGTGAGGAAGACCTACAGAGAAACACAGGGGCATTAAAGAGCCGTCACTCCAATCACTCTGAGGAAGACATAAAACTGTGGGGGAAAAAACACTGGTCCTCTGAGACTTACGGCAGACTGCTGCACGTGTTTCACTGAGCACAGCGCAGTGTTACCTATGTGTGAAGACAACACTCAGTGACAATGATCAAAATAAATAATACAGTACCTAAGTCAAGATGACACCATACTGTACCCAAGGCCAACAAGTGCCACGTTAGTGAATAAGAACAGATTGGAGAGGCTCAACACTCAGTGTCTGGGTGCACGTTTATCACAAAAACACATCATACTAAATAAGTGTCAAAGCAAAAACTAACCACAATCTGCACTGGCTGCAGTAATGACCTCTGAAGGAATGTAAGAAAACACTGGATAAGAAGATGTAACAGAACAAAACAGAGTGACAAGGATCAGTGAAGAGCATAAGGCAAGTTTACTGGTGTGGCTCACTTTGTGCTAATATCATCTGGAATGTGTCCACTGTGCAGAGTCTGTCCCAAACTAGACATCCAACCTCTGCTTCACTTATTCTGTGTTTAGCCAAACTTCCTGTATGGCTGTATCTGTAACTGTCAGTGTTCAGAATTTTAAATAATAATTCTTTTTATAATCTATAATACGGTTTCATTTAACAGCCTAAAATGTGAGTGTATATGCAGATTATCACAAAGCCAATTAACGTCTTTTGAACCCACTTTTAGTTGCTGATAAAGTTAAATCAAAACCTCCACAACATGGTCTCTTAGGCTTAGGTCTAATTTTTTGGACTCAACGATATATTTGGCACTTATCTGTGATGAAGTGTTTTCCGTGTATCAGTGCAGAACAATGGTTGACACTGACAGATACATGTATCACCCACAGCTCTCGTCTAACTGTCAGTCAAAAGAGACCAACCTTTTGTTGTGAGTATTGTTGTGGATGTTGTTGTCTGTAAGTATTTGACCTACATTCCCTTTAAATGATGGGATACGATGCACACAAACACTGAACTTACCAGCATATAAACATTTTCTCTCCCATAATATAGTTTTGTGTATCACAAAATGTGCAAAAATATAGTTATTTACTCTCATAGATGTGTAGCAGAGGCCTAAATAGAACCTGATCAGGTCAGTGGAGTTAAAGGGATATTTGCAGAATTGTTGAGCAGAAACTGTTAAGTAAATATGGAGCATTTTACATGGGAGGATTGCAATTGAAGAGCAGAAAAATAACAAAGTCTACATGTACTTAAAAATGTCCTAACTCTTATTCACCCAATTATTCATTAAACAATGATGTAGAATTGCTCAGTGAAATATAAGAACAAGTATGTGACACACATTACATTTTCTGTGAGCAATGAGTAATGAAAACCATGAGACAGAATGATAAATGACCTAAGTGGTTAAGCTTAATCTGAATATAATTGTGCATTTCTTTCATTAAGAAAATGGTAAAAACCCTCCATACTGTGGGTGTACCGCTGGTGCTTTGTCAAACTCTGAGACTAGATGCAGGAAAGTGAGAATGCCAGTGTCAAGGCAACTCAGAAGAGTGTCTCTATAAGGTAAATCAACAACATATAAAAATAGATATAAAAAACTAAAAACTACAAGCCCGGCCTGAAGTGTCTGCAGCCATGCTAGTGAGGCTAATGACAACATACTAACATGTTGAGAGTGGTGTCATGTTTAGCATGTTCACCATCTTACTTTAGCATGTTAGCATGCAAACATTTAAAGATAAGTCCCCACTGAAGCTGATGGGAATATCTTTGAATCTGCTGGTATCTGGTCATCAACATTTTGACCTGATGATGGCGCTAGATGAAAAGTCAGAAGATGACCGCAGTTGCTACAGTTCATCGCTGGGGCACACAGATATCGAATGTTACAGAGAGTGTATCTGACATATTCCAGTCTGGACCAGTGCGGTTGTCTAACTGACCCAACACTGTCCCCCCCGGAACCCTTCTGCTAACGTGACTTAAAGTATCTGGACAAACGGAGAAGAGCAGCAGCACAAGTAAAGCTTAAAACACATGAAGCCTCGTCAGTCAGCATGAAGCCATCAGTCCCTGCATGTTTGTCTGAAACATGCAGGGACTGCAGTGAAGTCTGAAGATGTGCACGGCAAGCTGACTGACTGCACTCACACTGTCACGTGTTTGACTCAATGCTGCAAAGCCAATCGTAACATACAACAGTTCATACTTTGTTTGGATTATTTGTGGATTTTTATATGAATATTCTCATTGTAACTTAAATGATTTTCACTTCATCAGCCTGTTTTAAAATGTGTTCTGTAAATACACTGACCTAACAGCATTTTTAAATGACCAGCTGTGATCGGCTCAGTTACCTTTTGTCAAATTGTGACTGAACTCTGAGCGCGCAGTGTGAACGCAGTCAGTCATAAACCATTATTCCATTTCGGCTTTATGTTTTAAGTGTATGCGCACAAATATATTTGGTATTGGGATTACAGCTTCAGCAAACAGTCTATCTTCTGAATACAAAGGCAAAACATACAATAAATAGGAAGTGATCATGAGGGTGTGGTTACATATAAGAGAGAAGCAGATGTGTGCTGATGGACCCTGCATCAGACGAGATCAGACCGAGAGGGAAACAAAGCTGTTGTACTGCTCGATGCTTCTCTTCAGGATGTCAGAGCAGGGACCCAGGACTCGCTCGAACCTCGGCCGGTCCAGTTTCACACACTTGAGTGGTCCACACGCAACAACAGTGGCCGCACGGGGTCGGTTCATCAGCAGGGCGATCTCACCTGGAAAACACAGAAAGAACATTGTCTAAAGAGATCACACAGGCATATTAGACTGCTTGTTGTAAGTCGCTTTGAATAAAAGCGTCAGCTAAATGAAAATGTAATGATGGCCTATCCAGAGTGCAGTGACTGCAGAAGCACTGATGTTGATGCTGATGAGGGTTTTGAGGTTACAGGTGGAGCAACAAACTGTAAAACAATGTGATAATTTGTCACAGATACAAGTCCATTCCAAATGGATCATTTTACTCTTGATGGTTAAAAGAATAATCAGTTAAGGAGCATCTGTTATCTCCTGTCAGACCCGCTGAAAGCAACATCATTAGGTCTTTGCAAACAGAAATGATGTACATGTTTATTCGCATATAGCACGGGTAAGTGAGGACTAGGGATGTCACGATATGAAATGAGCAAATCTCACGGTTTCACGATATAGTAAAATATACAAAATATGTATTATTATCATCAACTTTATCCAGTTAGTTTTTATAGTGTAACGTTTCTCTATTTAAAAGTAATTTATGTAAGCTATTTTATTTAGTTGCTTTATTGTGGAAGGTTGGTCACTAAATTTGTGTTTCCTGTCATAAGCTGTGTATCTGTGTGGGAGTTTTCTTTTGAAGGGTCAGCAACGGAAGTTGTTATGTTATGGGTTCAACATTTTGACTAGTTTTGAAGAACTTAACGTGTCCTGGTTCAAGCCATATTCTTCATATCCTGATTATACTATTAACTTTGAATTAAACTCTCAGCTACATTTAAAATGGTTAATAGGAGGAGACTGCTTTCAGACATGCACTGATCCTCCGAGCATTCTCCAGAGGGGCTGTGTGAATGTAAATGTCCAAGTGACAGCCTCCGGAGCCCACGTGAGAACATAGTATGAGATCCTCCACAGAATTCACAGCAAGTGAGTGGATGTGTTGATTACGTGACAGATGCAAAAATGAAAAACGAAACAAGCATCTCAGGATGAAAAAGCGGTGCCATACACGTACAAGACAGACAAAGATGTCAAGAGAGCTTTTGGTGATAACAACCAACGCCGGTGTTAATATGCTGTAAACAAAAACTCGAGATGTCCACACTGAATTAATATGTTACGTCCTGCCTCTGCCTGCTAATTCAAAAAGCTGTTTCTCCGTGGCATATTTCTCATTAATAGAGCAAAAGAGATGTTGGACAGTTAGACACGGCTTTAGAGTCCGTTTTGATCAAACATGTAGTAATTACTTTGCCTGACTTACCAAAGTAATCTGACGGACCCAGTCTGCCAACCTCCACAAACTCCTCATCCACTGACCGTCTCTGCAGTACCGCTGCTGTCCCCTGAAAACACAAAGACATCTTGAACTCCATATCCCAGAAATCAACAGGATTTTTCAGTCATTTTCAACAGTTTTTTCACTAGTGGCTTATGCTGAGTGAGTTGGACTATCTTAGCACAGTGTCACAGGGGGGACGAAAGCACCTACACCGACCGGTTTGGGACAAACATGCATACTGTCACACACCTTCAGTAAACAAAGACATAGAAGATTAAGAACATTATTGGTGCTCTGTACCTCTAGGATGATGAAGAACTCATCACCAGGTTCTCCCTGCACCACTATTTTCTGTCCGTCGACAAACTGCACCTTCTCCAAGGCATCAGCCACTGTCAGACGCTCCCACTTATCCAGAGACTCTGCCCAGGAACAACACTCAGGTCAATACATTCTCTCATTTGGATTCATTAGCCAAAGACAGCGAATGTGAAGAGGAAAAACCAAAGAGCCACGTTTTTACCTAAGATCGACACCTTGCTGAGGAACTCCTCGTACATCTTGCGCTTTCTCAAAGTGCTCCCCTAAAAGGAAAATTATTGTGACAGTATATATCTCAATATTTCAAAATCAAACTCATTCTTTTATGACACATGCGGTTTAGTCAGGTTTGTTTTTGTCACTTTGCAGTACTGCACAGCTTACCATCAGTATTCTCCTGTAGCTGTCTCTGTCGATGGCCCACAGCTTGACATTGGACTTGGCTCGTACTGTGGCTGCTCTGGGGGTCCCATAGATCAGAGCCAGCTCCCCAAAACTACCTCCCTCACTAATACTGGTCACCAACTCACTGTTCACATATACCTGTAAGAAGACAGGGAGTAGAGATGTGCTGATCTAATGACATGGCAAGGACAAATGTTGTATGTACAATATGATGGTCGGATTAATACTAGTGTGAGCATCAAGACTATACTTCAAGGCCACATGATTAAAAAACCTTTATATGCCAGTTAAGTGAGCAGCTTTTTCTTCACCTATTTTTTGTCTCTTCAATCATGTGTCCCAAATGTGACTCTTGACAGTTGTCAAACTAATATTTTAAGAACAAAATCTTTTTGAGGTATTTCTATTAGGGCTGCATGATATAAGAGAAAAACATGCAATAATGTTGTTTTATATTGCAATGAAGGTATGACTATATCCACAACTAGGAGAGGGCTCACAGCCCAGCCGCAGTGCCACCAAGTCCGGTGCAGACACCCAGGGAGCCATGCACAGCTCCACTATGTCCACTTGCAGTGTTAATGTGGGCTGTTTTCTGTAATTTTACTCCTCAACTGCGTCAAACCAAATGTAGCACGGCACCATCTCCTCCAGCTCCACATACATTTAATAAGTTTATAAAGTGTGTTATTTTTACCCAGACTGATTTAGCTCATTAATAAAAGTATCGACAATTATGTGATGATCAGTGTTGATATTTTGGCGAGAAACAAACTTTTGAACTGTAGAGAGTCCGAGACGTCAGTTGAGAGAGAGATGCGAACACAGAGCAGTGCGGTGTGTGTGAAGTTTCCATAGTAGAATTTAGTTGGACGAAGCGGAGCGAGATCATTTATTGCAGTTTTTGGTGTATTTGTCCATCACGCACATTGATATTACGATGACAAGAGATTTCCGATAAATCACGCAGCCCTAATTTCTATTAAAATAATTTGACAACAATGACATTATCTCCTTAAACAATTAAAATCACATGATGATACTATTTTCATTACACAGCATACCAGACAAACAATGGAGCCCAAAACAAGTGCATGCTGTTTAATGAAGCTGAAGCTGCATTTAGCATACTTTGGGCTTCAGAATAAGCTCGGGCTGTTAGTAGAATGGAAATATTCATGGTTGTAGTATTGTTAATGATGCTTTAAAGTTTTCCCCACTGAACTGCTAATGCACATCTAACTAAAAACCAAAGGTCGACAATCCCTTTAAAATATGAAAGAGAAAGAGATCTTACGTCCATCTCTCCCTGGTCAACAACGTAGAAGTTGTCTCCCTCATCACCTGCAACAGGAGCGATTAAGAAGAGTGAACAGGAAAGAAACACAAGAATCTCATTATAGCACTTGAGATTCCATAAACTTACCTTGTAGGATGACCGTTTCTCCAGCAATGTAGTTGACAGAAAACATTGCGTCAAAAATGTCACTGTAAGAGTAGTAAGGAAAATGAGCGGATTAGCTGGAGACTTTCTGAGGGTTTATTAACAAACTGCTGGAGTGCTTGCTGCCATTACCTTCTCTCGTTGTCGTCCAAGTGAGCAAATAGCACATTCCTCTCCATGGCCTTGGACAGGGAAGCCATGCTCTTGTAGTCTTTTGGGATGACCTTGTGTAAAAAAAATTAGAGAGAACTTAATATAAAAGATGCCTCTTCAAGCAAAACTACTCATACTAAATGTCACCGGGGACAATTCCATTTTTGTTCAAAAGAACCCTTACCCAACAGTTGTGCGCACACACACAGAGGGAGGGCATTCTCAAACGTGTGGCAGATTGATGATTTTCTAGCTTTACCTGGATGAGTTTGTACTGCACCAAATCTTCGTTTCAACTTGAGCCTTACAATAGCAACTAATTTCACACTATGCACAACTAATTGCTAGTAGTAAGGTCTAAATGCAACTTTTTTTAATGGTGGTTTACAAACAGCTCTTGGGGCAATAACATTGAAATCTGGCACCAGTAATCCATTATTTTCTACAAGTTGCCAGTAAAAACATGAGGCAAATATTTTCTTATGCCAAGATGCAGAAATATAAGATTTTTAATTATTTTATGCTTGACAAAACCACGACCCAGCCCTATTTGACAAGGGCAGATAATCTGAATCAAAAAAACAATATTAGATTCCCCATAGAGCTGCTAATCTGCAAATTTGCCCATTGTGGGCCTACTAATAAAGGACTTCTTAATCTCATCATTCTCTGTGGATCCACAGTTGCACATGTCCTCAGCAGATTAATGTAAAATCGAACAAACTTGTGCAGCTTTGATGACAGTGTGTGAATGAAAATATTTGACACACCACTGACCTTTCTAACATAGGAGGCTGCGTCTTCCTCAGTGTACACCTCAGCACTGATGGCTCCTCTCCGGCTCCGACGCCTCACCACAGGGTTCATGGGTGGAGAAACCTCATCCTCACGGGAGTCTGACCATGAGCTAGACTTCTGCTGTGAAGCCATCTGCTTGGCCTCCTCCTGCTTGTCAACGAACACAGAAAACCACACCTGAGTCACTGTGTATACTATACATTGAATGGTTAAGCTGTGATGACAAAACAAAGACAGAAAAACACAACACAGGGAACTGTATTCCACAACGAGACTTTAAATCTGACTTGATGAATATTGTCATATTTCACTAAAAGGAATGACTGTAATGGGGTTTCAGGGCCTTAGCTGTCATACAGTGTGTATCAGCACCCACCTTCTCAAGTCTTTCAAAGTAGTCTCTGAGGAAGGCCATGGGCCGCTCGGGCCGCGCGGTGCATAGCTGGATGATGCAGTCTTTGAGCAGCTGCTGAATGTTGTGCTTCTGCACATACTGCTCACACTCTCTGAGGCTCTGCTCTTCCTCGCTGCTTGTATTGCTTGATGCCATCTTTGTCCTGTTGCCTAACAGAAGAGGAGAGGAAAACACACTCAAGAACCAGGAAGCTGTGGATGCAAACTGATACCAACAGGAACTAGAAAAAACGAATTCCTACTCCTCCTCAGGTAAAAAAAAACCTTCAGTGATCAAACTATTATTCCAAAAGATCACTTCTCTCTCTAAATACAGGTTCACTTATGGTCAGGGTGGGGTTCCAGGTCAAATAAAACATTTCATTAACTACAGTAAATATATGTATGTGTGTGTGTGTGTGTGTGTGTAAGTAGCAAATTTCATTCATAAAAGTGGAGTGAGGGAGTAACAAGTGAAGAGAAAGCAAAAACTGTTTATTTTGTGTTTCAGTGAATTTGTCACTATGTTCACTGAGCAATATTTTATTCATGTTAATAAATTATTATATAAAGTATTAATAAGTTATTCCAGGAGCTTGGTTAAACAACTGGTTCGGGTAATCTGCTTTTAATGCGGGTACATAAGCATTGGTTTTTCTGCTGTCATACGGGGGCACGGTTTGGCAGTGGCATATGTTGAGGTCTATTTTACTGAGCTGGTTTTGTCACACAGACCTGGCAACCCTACTGAGCTTCTTCTTATAAACAAACTTCAGAATCTGACCGTGGAACAGCGATGTTCAGTTGAACATCTGTAACGTACAGTCAGGTGTTACGCTTAACCTTGCGTTTCAATAAAGTAGTCCGCTACCCAACTAGCTACAGTGCGAGTAGCAGCTTCGATGTTAGTGCAGTCGTGTATGCTACACAACTAGACAGGTTAGCAAAGCTACTGAAGAGTTAGCCAACTTTAGTTAGCCCCTTTCGACCAGTTAACGTTGTGTTGATGTGACGTGACCAGTCTATTAACCACAAGCTTCATTCGGAGTCAGTACAACACACGCTCAGCAAAGTTACCACGTTAATTAATGGCGAAGATTTCCGTAAATGTTCTTTGTTGAATACCATCCAGGTAATAATTAGCTTAGCGCGCTAACTGTTAGCCACCCACAGTCCCGTATCTAAATGATGGGAACACACAGACTAGAGACACAAGAAGCTGCTGAACGTGTCCGACAGTGTGTGACACGGTGTGTGACTCGGTGTGTGACTCGGTGTGGAAATAAAGCACTTCAACAAATGATCACCGTGAATAAAAACCCTCCTCACCGTCAAACAAACAACACGACGTCCCGAGAGCTCTACTGCCAGCAGAGGATCCACTTCCGTGTGACTCGTTTCAAAACAAGAGTCCACACACACCCAGAAACACTGGGAAAACTCCGAAATAAAACCATGACAAATAAACAGCGAACTCACCGTGCACGGTCATGGCAGACAATCCCATCTATTCTGTATACTGAATCTGAAAACGGTTCTATTTGTTCATCAAAAGATCATCATCCGTTCGTTTTTTAATGATCAGTCTTTAAATTATTATTAATCAGAGTGCACTGTACCAAACATGGTCGCAGCCCAGAATATGTGAAGATATGTTGTTTTTAAATCAATTTAATACCATCCTAAGTTTGACTGAGACGCTTGATATGTAGAGGTTCCAAACTGGACATTTGTCCCACTTTTATGGACAAAACAATAATGAGAATGTAAGGTATTAGAAGATAATTGAAAGTATTTTAAATGGAACATCCACTGTTATTGTTAATGGCAGACTTTAATAATAAATGTAACACCTAATCATGAGTGTTAATCTAGTTTTTAATTTTTATCACTAAAATGATGTAGAAAAATTGTGGAAACAATCATGTAACATATATATTTATAAGTACATTTTTATACCTCTCTCTACACATGGTAATGGACAACTGGGACAGTGGGAAGGTTTATCACAACAACCTGGATCCAGGCAAGATTCTTGCTCAACAGCTATGAGCAGACACACCCACCTTTCTTTTACTGCCCTCAGTAATACCACAGTCACTTCCTTCACCAAGTCAGACTGCACAGCTCCATTCGTGTCGACTGCCCAGAGTCCACGAATACAGCCCTGCACCTTCCACCACCACCACTACCAGTTCAGCCAAACCAAACATACACAACCAAGGTAGGTGATCTCTGCTCTCAGTGTTTTTATCAAATCTAATCATTGTTTTCTCTTTCTGATCGCTGTAAAACTGGTTTGTGGTTTTTTTCCATTCGCCCCATAAAGCAAGAGAAAAGTACTACGCCATTCCAGATATTCAGTCTGTCTAATGAAATATATGTTGCTTCTAATTCTTCCTTGTTGAGTCTGTTTCAATATGACAGGGTAAAAAACAGACACCACCAAAACAATTGCTTGGGATGTATTTCTATGCAGCATTCGGTCTGAGGTAGTATCTATTTAGACAGAAATCCTGTCTAAATAGTAACTTCTCTGCTTTATGAAAATAATGTAAAACTATAAGAATGTTTCACCTCTGAATAGGGTGTGTGTTGTCCCGCCATGGCCAGGTTACTGTTCGAGCAAAGAGAAAAAGTACATACAATACAGTACAATACGTAGCAGTTACAGTGTGTTTGCTCATTGTGCACCACAACTGATAAGGTGTAGTTATCTCAGGCTCATTACTCACATAGCAAACAACATGTGCACATATTGTAAGTCTACTCATAAAGTGAATTTATCCCCCTTTAAACATCAGAGGTATACCAAGTTATTCTTGGGATGATATAATGAAAGATTAAAAACAATTAAATAGGTATGAAATGATTCTAGAAAATGTAATACTTCAGACTGTTTATCTCACTGGCTGCATCATTTCTCAATCCATATATGGCAAACTGGATGTGCTTTAAAAACCTTGTCTCTCAACAAAATGTCTCCCTTTCTTCCTTTCTAATCTCATCCTGGGTGGGACCTGCAGCTGCACATCTCCTGACATTCCAGCAGCCTCCTCTGCCTCTGTTCAGACATGTCGCTCCACAGTTTTGGCCTGGAGCCGATCTCCTGCCACACCTGGAACAAAGACAGGACCCGTAGGTGAAACTGCATGCATCACGAGCCTGCTTTTCCACATAGAGTAATACACACATATGGAATCCTATGTGCAGATATAAATATATGAAATGGGTAGACATCACATGCCTGCATCCTTTCTCATAAATGGTGGTTTAAACTTGCGCTGCAGTCTGCTGATACATTTTCTTCCTCCTCTAATTGCATAATGTTGCCTGGAGAACTACAGGGAATCAGATTATCAATACAGGAAGTGGACACAAAGAGCTTTACCACATGCATCCAACTGTACTTCAGTTTCACAATGTCTACAGCAGTCTGGGTATTTGACATTATAGCTATCGTTGAACATCGCAGTGCATTATTAATGACTTATATGTTGTGAAAGCTAAAGCATGATGCAGTACTTGAATTGAATGTGGTGCCCTATCTTAAATATGTTGCAAAAGGTTAGGGTTAAGATTAGCATGACACAAGTGTGGGCGCAAGTTTCAGACCTGCAGTTGGTTTTTTTTCTCATTCAGCAACCACTTCATCTGAATAACAAATGCACTTGTTGCCCATTTGAGCACCCATGGGTCTTAAAAAGAGGTGTGGTCAGGTACATTGTTGGTGAATTGCTATCTTGAGGCAACACAAAGAGACTGACCCACAAAAACCTGGTTTGAAGTCAGATCCTCGATCTCAAAGAGAATGGGAGATCACATAATTAGTTATGAGATTACATAAAAGTTCATGCTTCACAGAGGCTCTCTCCCATGAGTTCCCCTCCTATAACCTTGCATACATAAAAACTCATGGCAACTGTTATCTACAGTATCTTAAAAAGACAGTATCTGACTAATTTCGCAAAAAATACATCTGACTCATGTTTTTGCCCAGAGATTGCAGTGAGCCCCAACAACAACGTGGTGAACATCTATGAGAAGAAAGGGAAAGACTGGATCAAGATTCATGAGCTCACTGAGCACAGTGGACACATTACAGGTACTGTAACTTACTGCCAACTGGGACTGCAGGGGATCTGCAATTGACTTGTTCGACAACATACCTTCCGGGGCCTACACACAGGTTAACCTGCACTATTTCTGTTTGTAGCAAGCATGGTTTTGTCACAGCTATTTGACAGTAATGTGACATAGATGAGAATATTATATTGTGGACTCTTATAATGAGGTAGCCTCCTCTGATGACAATAAGAAGTGCTGATCTTGCTGTTGTCTCCAGCAGACACGTTATCTTCTGTGTGACTTAGTGCTGCTAATTTGATTGAAACGATTCCAGGCCCCACCAGATATGATGTCAGCCATGTCCAAGACATAAAATGAGCCTTTGAGCTCTTCATTACATCATCAATTGAGAAGGATGACAAAGTTAGAGAGGAGGCAGATGCATGGGTGCAGTTAGAAAGACTTGGTTGCCTATTTTTGCAGGAGTGTACAAATCAAAAGGTGAAGCAACAACAAGCTTTTGGAATATTGACACTAGAGGGGCCTCTATATCTCTAAAGACGTTCCAGGTTTTCTCTCAGGTCATATGAGGGTCTAAGGACAGAGGGTGTCACTCCCTGTACAGACTGTAAAGCCCTCTGAGGCAAAATGTGTTTTGTGAATTTGGGCTATACAAATAAAATTTGATTTGATTTGATTTGATACGCTTTGATGACAGAGAAATCAGGATTGATGAGAGCTTGAAACTCCCACCAATATAGAATGTATAGGATAAGATGTTGAAGCCATTACCCTACTAAAGCTCAAATTCACATTTTGTGTTTTTGTAAATAAAACATCACATATGTTACTTTCCTTGATCATAGAATCTTTCTCTTCAAATATTATAGATAACAGAAAACAGAAAATAACAGAGATCATTTGGATCTCTCTCTCCAATTTTAGGTCAATTAGTGAGATTTTACAGTGATTTGCAATAACCCATAGAAGGATAATCGGTATTCTGGATGTATTATGGGGTGGGCCACATATATACAGTATATATTTTACTTTTTGTGCTTTTTTTCTATTGCATGATGTAAAATGATGTTATCTTATCTGGGGGACCCTCTTGTATAACCTTACAATTGCAATTTGCTGAGGGGTGTGTCCGGTGTCCCCTCATTGGCAGTTTTTTGTTGAGGGAATATGCCATTGTGTTTATGGTGTTGCCTGTAAGGTGCAGTTTTGTCTGTATGATATTTTCCTGATGAAAAATGTGAACTACTCTCTCCTGTTATGCTTCTTTGTTGACTACTTAAATAGCCATTTATGTAAAACATTAATCCCACCATATTATATCCAGAATATCGATTATCCAAATATGGGATAACTCACCATAAAATCTCACCAATTGAAAAAAATTTGGAGAGAGAGATCTTTCAGGGGGCTTTATATGATCTCTGTTATTTCCTAGAATGGTTTTCTGTTATTGACATTATTATATCTTTGATACCCCCTCATAACTATGTCCATAGGCATTGACTGGGCCCCAGAGTCCAACCGCATTGTGACTTGTGCCACGGACCGCAACGCCTACGTGTGGACTCTGAAGGATGGCGTGTGGAAACCCACACTGGTCCTGGTGCGCATCAACCGAGCAGCCACGTGTGTGAAGTGGTCACCTCTGGAAAACAAGTTTGCCCTGGGCAGTGGCGCTCGTCTCATCTCTGTCTGCTACTTTGAGAAGGAAAATGACTGGTGAGCAATAATGTGATCAAATTGAATAGTTTTGGAACAATTTTGACAGATTTGAAAGTCAAACACCACAGTCCAGAACATCTATGTATGGGTATCTATAGAAACATCCACCAAAACTCTGACTGGACCTGATCTTAACTAAATCTTTCATTCTCCCTTCATTTCAGGTGGCTGAGTAAGCACATCAAAAAGGCCCTTCGATCCACAGTCCTGAGTCTGGACTGGCATCCCAACAATATCCTACTGGCTGCTGGCTCGGCAGACTTTCAGTGCAGGTAGGAGCTCACAAACAAAATTGGGATATAGACGAAGCAAAGCAGATCAGAGTCTCAGTTCTACAAACAGAGTAAAAGCTTTGAATATGATACCAAGAAATTGAAATAAAGTCAGTCCAGAACTGAGTTGTGGAGGAGGGGAGGAGGAGGGGAATTGTGGGAAAGTGGCATGAGATAATGAAGGAATGAACCTTAACATTATGGCATTATTCCAAACACACACACACACACACACACACACACACACACACATACAGTCATGTGTCAATGACTCTGGAGGTCATTACATTGACTTACATTCATTTCCTGGACATTAACCCTAACCTTGGCCTAAACCTTCAAACAATCATTGCATCAAAATGTAATGATTTACTTGTGGGGACTTGGTTTTATCCCCATAGAGAAGAAAAGTCCCCATAAGGTGACTGTGCAAACAGATTTGGCCTCCCACAACAGCAGGTAAGGTAGGTATAACAGAACATGACAGACTAACACAGTGCTGCTTTTTGGTGTTTTTCTGGTCTTATTTGACCACAACATGGACTCAATGCCAGCATCATTCTATGATGCTATGTTTGTAATACCACTTGTATGTAAGAAGTGTATTTTGAAGAGGAAGCTTTATAATTATTACATGTATATAAAACTTAAGATGCATTCAAAGACTTTTTATCTTTTCAATCATATAGTCAACAAAGTCATTATATCAGTTTAAGCAGCAAGCCCTAAATAAGCAGCCCAATATTTGCTCCTGAAGCCTACAATCAGATCTCTGTACTTCTCAGGGTTTTCTCTGCCTACATCAAGGACATCGAGGACAAGCCTGGGCCCACCGCCTGGGGCGCCAAGATGCCTTTTGGGGAGGTCCTGCTTGAGCATAAGGACTGTGGGGGCTGGGTGCACAGTGTCTCCTTCTCTCCGAGTGGAGATCAGCTGGCATGGGTGGCCCACAACAGTAGCATCGCTGTGGCTGATGCTGCCCAGAAGAAGGAGTGAGTACTGCAGCTGAGCCAATTAATCCTTTAGTGTGACCAGTGGTAACAGTCAACTAAAATCCAATTGAACTTCATTTGTATAGTGCCAAATCATGACATACATTATCTCAAGGCACTTAACATGGTCAAAAATGGAGACCAAGTATCCAGTTCATTTTGATTGTGTGTCTTTCAGTAGTCCCTCAATGTCTCAGATTCCTGAGCATCAATAACTTCTATTTTCTGTCTTAGTTTAATTTCTGGCTGAAACTTAAGTTCTATAAGTGTTCCTCTGTCTGCTCAGGGTAACCCATCTGACCACTGACCGTCTGCCGATGATGAGCATCTTATTCACCAGCCCCACTGCTATTGTTGCTGCGGTAACTACCACCTGCTCTATGTTTTTGTGCGTCTGAGTGGAATGCATGTGACAAGCGTGTGTATGTGTCTCGGATGATCCAATCACAATTAGCAGTTCTAAGTACAGGTGTGAGTGCAAAGAAAGTGATATGACATCATACACAATGCTGTGATGCAGACCAGAACATACTAATGTGGTCTGAGCCATCAGATCTCAGTGGGGCTTGGGTGCATACTTACTACTACGTACACTACTTTGAGCTGTGCACTTGTGACCTGATCACCAGTGCAATTAGTGCAAGGTCCAACCAAAGTCTTTGATTCCTCTGTGATGAAGAGTTGACCACTCACTGTACTTACTCAAGTATGAATCCAATCATGAATCCTAAGGACAAACTCATTCAAATCTGTGGGGCTTTGTTGCATATTTTAGGTCTTTGTTGTTCCCTAAACTCCCTAACCATGTTTCAACAGCAGTAGGCATCTGTTTTTCACACAAAAAACTCCACTATACACTACCTGCCCAGCACCAGACAGCAGATGGACACAGTTTCATTCCATTCAGACAAATATTTTAAATCTGACATTTAAATTCTTTAAGAAATGAAGAAAAGGGTTTGGTAGCAGTAAGAGAACCACTACTGACTCGGATGCAAAAAGGTCTGATCAATTTGGTGTTTGTCTAGTCAAACTCTCCTTGATTTTTAACTGTTGCTGTTATTTGGGTCTGTTGACCACAGATATGTTTGTAACGAACATGACAATAGCTATAAATACTTGTACTTATATTTTCAATGTGTATCACTGTCAGGGTCATGACTGTTGCCCATACCAGTTCACCTACACTGGTCCTGGTGCCCTGGAGTTTGTGAAGAAGCTGGACATCCCCAAGCAGACGTCTAAGGGCAGCACGTCAGCTATGCAACACTTCCGCAACCTGGACATGAGGGCGACTGAGGGGGACAGCAGTGAGCTAGGCACCCTTCACCAGAACAGCATCACGTAAGGGACACTACTGTTTCCCTAACATCAACCACGGAGGGTTACAGAATAAATTGCTGTTTAATACGGGCACATATGAAATTGTGGAATTGCATTGTTAGAAATTTGGTGCAGATCCCAAAGAAATCTGGATCCAGTGAATTTAAATGTGGTTTTAAAATGGGACTGTTGGGCCTTATGCCACTCTAGTTGCATTAAACAGTATAAGCTACACAGTTCACACGTTTGTAAAAGCCTTGTGTTTTGTTGTGTCTGGTCCTGCAGGCAGCTGTGTGTTGTATCAGGGAACAAAGCCAAAGTGGAGAAGTACAGTAGTGTGGGTCTGGATGGAGCCATGGTCATCTGGGAGTTTAAGGTACATGTGTCAGACTCTTCTTCTTTTCTTCAATACAAAAATGAAGCTGTGATTAAGATTTTGAAATGCAAGGTTATTTACTGTTGAAGATAGAATATGAATAGAATACAATATAGCTTTAGATGACTTTTATTTGCAAATATGCTATCTTGCCAAAGTCACAAAACACTGACAGTGTTTGAATGGCATTTGGATTAAAGGTGGACTGTAACATAAAAAACCCAAAACAGATGACGCATAAGTTGTGTAAATTTGCCACAAACAGAAAAGGTGAGCATAGAGCAAATGAGTGATGGTTTGTGTTTTATGAAAAATTTCAATCCAGAGACCTGGTTAAAATGTTCCCAAAGAGGCTAAATGTTCAGCAGTAAATGGCTGATCCCAGTATCAGCTGTCAGCTGCAATGCAAACATATTGCTGAGCTATCTGTTAGCACAACCATGTGGGATCAGTTCTTCTAACTTGTTGCTACTCTCATTTCACAGCATTGAACCAAAACGTATACAAGGAAGGCAGACATACTGAGGAATACATCTGCCAGTAAACCTGTGTCTGTGTAAATGGGGATATGCATATGCTTTTAAGTAGCACATGTGCTTTATGCTCTTTATGTAATAAAGCATCTTTCAAATAAAGAGACGTGACAATGGACTGTAATAATGAGTCATTTTTCATTTCTGTGTTGTGTAGTTACTGTACTGACCTTTTCATATATTTTATTACTATCCAACTGCATATATATCATGTAAATTGATTAATGTCTGTAGGGTGTTTATTTTTGTTTCATTATTCTTCTACTTCTACTGTTGCTATTGAACGACTTAAACTGTTGATGAACTCCTCTCCTTTAAAAGATGTCAGAATCATTATATGTCATGGGGTAGGGGCATTCTGCCCCTGTATTATTTCCTCTGTGGCTCTGTCAGAGTTTGAGAAAATGACCCTGGTGATTTTCATTTGAATCATGCCTATGTCAAAGGTTCTGTGTGTAGAATGTATTGACATCTAAGGGTGAATTTGCATGTTGCAGCTGAAGACTCCTCACCTCACCCTCTCCTTCCAAACATGAAAAAGAACCTGCGGTGAACTTCAGTTGGCATAAAAACTCAAAAGGTTTTAGTTTGTCCAGTTTGAACAACAGCAAAAAAACATGTATATATAAAGTATTTAAATATAAACGGCCCATTCTATGGTAGAGAAAACAACAATTTATACAATTTAGATGAAACACACCAGTGAAAAGATCAGTAGTATTATTTTATATTCAATTTCTGCCAAAAATACCTGTCACCTAAATCTTACACACTGAACCTTTAAATATAACAACTAAAAGCTCAATTAACATACATTCTTGGAACTGCCACAAGAAACCAAGTTAAGCAAATTTCCTCAAGGGCCCAAAACAGTGCTTGAAACGTTTTTTGTAATCAAACCTAACAGAGATATTATGTATATATTATAAATATCAGGTTGTGATAATGATGACCAAGAATTGACAATAGACAGTATTGCACAAACCATTACCTTCCATCTCCAGGGGTGAAGTTGGGTCATAGCTTGTTGTCAAAATCAATTCTGACCCTTGGATTGCCTGACGGCAGTATTCAGTCATTGGGTTTTCTCTCTACAGCTCTGAGGATAATGGTGAGAGAAGGCCCACAACAGAAAAGGTGTCATTATGGGAATTTGAGAATTGGACGCCTGCAGGGTTTAGGACCCCTGGACTTCTTTAACGCAGGATAACAAATCATTTAGATTTAATTAAACTGCTAGTAGTAATCACTTTATTGTAAAAGAGAAAATCTGTTAAAGGTACAGTGTGTATAATTTATTGATATCTAGTGTTGAAGTGTCATGTTGCAGCTGAACACCCCTCACCTCACCCTCTCCTTCCAAACATGAAAAAGAACCTGTGGTAGCTTCAGTTGTCATAAAAACTCAAAAGGTGTTTAGTTTGTCCAGTCTGGACTAATGTAAAAAACATGGCGGCCTCCGTAGAGAGGGTCCCCTCCATGTAAATATAAAGTATTTAAATATAAAGGGTCTTTTCTGGGGTAAAGAAAACTACAATTCATACAATTTAGATGAAATGAACTAGTGAAAACATCATGAGGATTATTCTACATTACATTTCTGCCAATAGTTCCATTTCACCTAAATTTTATGCACTGGACCTTTAAGAGAATCCTGTTCAAAACTTAATTTAGAAAAATTAGATATTTGCAGAAGCCAGGCATATACAAAGATGTGTACACACAAATTGTTTGAAAAGACATTGTCCAGAATCAATGCGGTCTTCTGATATATTCGGCCTACAGGCAGCCACCAGGCCGCGTTCTAGCTTTGTGAAAATGGAACATTAGTGGTGCACGACACTGTTCCTACAGCGCCACCTCTGGTCTGTTTTGGAGCAAATAATGAACGGCTCAGTTCTCTCCTGACATTTATCTAAAACTTAAGTTGCGGAAAGTGCACAGGGCATTTCGCGTCAGAGTTTCACTGTGTTTTAACGACAGGATAAAAGATAAAGTTGTGTTTTCTCTGAACAGAGTTAGGTTGTGCGTCCTTTACTACATCACATGAATGGACGGACACAAACAAAGGCCACTCCACCAATAATAACACACTACTGAGCAGTTGACCAATCAAAACAGGAGCCAGCGACAACATGGGCTCACCGTCAGCCAATCGAGCGAAGCGGCGACGTGACGTAGGCTCGTCAGCTGTTCTTGTTTTGCTTCTTGTTCCTCCTCTCCTCCTGCAGGAGAACAGAGCCGAGACACCGCCGCCCTGACCCACCGTTTTCCCTCAGACCCGCGGCTCTGCTTCGAGCTCTCACCCGCACAGCAGCCGCGCCACATTTCTTCCACGTTGGAGCCGTCTCCCGCCGACATCGAGCGAAGAGGTGCAGCCGATCCCAGGCCTCCAATCCAGGGCGGAGGGAGGGAAGGAGGTCGCTGGGTATCGGGATGGAGACCGCGGAGGGAGCTGCTGGGCCTGGCGGACCGGACGGACCCGGGCTCCGGTTTGGCTGCGCCTCTTTCAACCAAGACTCCACGTAAGCACGCAGGCGGATGACAAGCGGCCGAGCCACCAACACACTCACCCTGTTTGATTTCTCGCTGACATTAGACGGGCACCTCTGGCTGTGCCCTCAAACTATTATTCAACACAATGGTGTGTGGGGACCAACACAACACCTTATATTCACATGGTTAAAGGGGCACTCCATCAGTTTGGGGGGGAGGGGGGGCGATCAGCACGTCAAAACAAACGTATACTGTCTGTGATGACACCACAGTGATGTCACTACCATTGCATTGGCTCTGAGACGTCAGACTTTTGAGTTGAACAACACTGGGGGGTGGAGATTGAAAGATGTGGGTGAATACCACAGTCTATGGTGAATACTCGTCAATGGGCGGTGTGTGTGTATAGAGGGGAGGGGGTGGGGGGTCCTAACAAAATATGCATTATTGGAATGTAGGTCCACAGTGTTGGAGTGCAGAGGTGCAAGGAGTCTGATGTTCAGTGTTTCAGGCTTGACTCAAACTCGGGTCTTAAAGGGATAGTTCACCCAAAAATGAAAATTGGGGGGTGAAGTGTTTGAGTCCACAAAACACTTCTGGAGTTTCAGGGGTAAACAGCGTTGCAGCCAAATCCGATAAATGGTGACCACTTCTTCAAACGTCAAAAAAAACACAACATGCCTCCATACTGCTCGTGTGTTGTCATCCAAGTGTCCTTAAGCCCTGATATTCAAAATCGAAACTGCATCATTTACACCATCAGTCAGCTGATATCCTTCTCTGGATCTGCATTTACATTCTGCACCCAGTAGCATTGGTAGTTCCGGTAGCAGACATTTAAGCTAAAAACCTATATAAATGACCTAGTTTGGAATTTGAATGTCAGGGCTTACAGACACCACAGGAGCAGAAAGTGTTTCGTGGACTCAAACACTTCCCCCACCCTCCATCGGCATATTGGTGAGTAGATAATGAGTGAACTTTCATTTTGATGTGAATTACCCCTTTAAGGTCAGGATATTTCAGCCCCTGGTGGACAAAAACTCCACATGTCCCCACAGAGCTTCATGTAATGGGGTTGCTGGAGAAGCCCTATAATCACGACTCTGCCGGGAATCATGATGATGGCTGTAGAAACTCAACTCTTGAAGAGATCTTGGATTCCAAGGGTTTAACTCATATATCTTATGTTACAAGGAGAGTGCTGAACACATTCAGTTAAGTCTATCAAGTGGCAGTCTCTTTCAAGCAGAGACATTAAAGTCACAGTTCCCCAAAACTACCGTGATAAGTCACTTTATGATGAATAAGCTACATTCACTGCACATTAAACAGGACGTCACACAGAGGCCTGCCTGATGTTGCTCATTATACATTATACTAATGACCCGAGGTAACTTCATTAACATACTCATTAATCCAAAGATCAGAGCAGGATCAAATAAAGTTGTACATGTATTTCAAGATCTTCTGTCTGTATGGGTGCAACCTGCCCTCACCTAACATAATAATCTCCAGCCCATGTGGCAGTAACAGTTTTCAGACGGCAGAAGAAGGCACGCTCATGATTTTTATGCTTTGCCTCCAGCGTGTAATTAGCTCGATCCCTCTGTTTAATGTCGCACTTAGCAAATAGCGATCGACTCTTTGTTTTAGAGAAGGCAGGAGATCAGAGAGAAAGCTGTGTGTGACACAATCTCTTTATTCTGCAGAGCTGATGAAAATTCTCTGTATTTTCTGTGTAGTTCTGTAGGTTCCCTCCTGTTAGGACACAGGATGAGACAGGACAGGAATTTACAGAACTTACAGCAGTGGATGAAAGCACAGGTGGTCTTTAAGAAAATGACTTGTGTAACAAAAAAAAAAAAAGTACTGTAGAGTCAGAAAGTTGATTAACTTGTTTGGCAAGGCGTCATATGAGTGGTCTGGAGGGCTGTGATAACAGGACCTATGTGTCACTCAATGTAAATATTCAGTTCTGTAGCAGTGTGTGGATCCCATGTTTTGGTTGTGACATTTTAAAATCATAGATTATAAGAAAAAACATCAGTTGAGAGAGGAGAGAGAGAGAACAGGATCAGTTGTGTACCCTCATGTATTTTAGCTCTGTCAGGCTGGTTGTTATAACGACAATAATGATACCTACTGTAACTTATATGTTAATAATGATAAGAGCGAGGAGAGAGAAGTGCTCAGTGCATGATGGGAGCTCCCCCAGCAGTCCAGACCTATAGCAGCATAACTAAGGGATGGTTCAGGACCTGATCCAGAACTAACTATAGGCTTTATCAAAGAGAAGAGTTTGAAGTTTGACTTTAAATGCAGAGATGGTGTCTGTCTCCTGAACCCAGAGTGGGAGCTGGTTCCACAGGAGAGGAGCCTGGTAGCTGGATTCTCTTTTAGGACTCGTGCTCTAGCAGTTGGAGGCTTTTCACAGACTTTGTGGGACATCCTGATGATAAAGAATTGCAGTAGTCCAGTCTAGAGGTAACCAAAGAATGGACTAGTTTCTCAGAATCCTTTGAGACAGGATGGTTCTAATTTTCATGATATTGTGCAGGTGGAAGAAGATATCTGTCCCAACTTCTCATGATGTCACGCTACATCAGGCAACATCACAAAGAGTCACATTATATCACATCAAGTGATATGACGTGATGTGATGATACACATCACCTATACATTATGTCATCACATCCTGTGTGTCACATAGTACATCATGTCATGCCGTCATGTCAAGTCACATCACATTATGTCTTGTTGCATTGCCCGATCTCATGTCATGTCAACTCACCCCATTTGTTGTCAAAGACAAACCGCCCAGTGCTGAAATGTAATATGGGAAATACAGAAAATCAATAAAAAGTCAAAGTCCAGAACCAGAATCTTGTGGCTGCCTTTAACAGTCATATTCAGTAATGTGTTGTGCTTTCAGACGAGCAGGTTGACTGTCACATGAGTCAGAGAGAGAAACTTTTCCCTACAGGAGCCATGTGCACACCTAAATGTTTGTCTTTGTCTTCCCTTGAATCAAAGGGAGGAATCCCAAAGTGCCCAGATGACAGATGACAGCCAAACAAAATGAAACGTGGTTCCAGTAAATGTGAAAAAATAAATATCCATCCTTCTTTTTTCCAACAAGTAAAAAGTAAATCAAGCAATGTACATGTTTTACGAGCAGTACTGACTCTCCACTCTCAGTCCTTGTGTTCGTATTTGCTTCATGTCTTTGTCGCTGCACTCGTTTATGCTAGCATGCAAGTTCATTACATGCGGCTCTGTGGCGCAATGGACAGCGCATTGGACTTCTAGGTTATAGTGGTGTGGAGTCATTCAAAGGTTGTGGGTTTGAGTCCCACCAGAGTCAAAGTTATCTTTATTGGTCCATAAAGATTTGGTTTGGGAACTGGAGGGTGGCCAGTTCAAGTATGACCGTAAGTATGGAAGGTGGACTGGTAGCTGGAGAGGTGTCAGTTCACCTCCTTGAGCAAGGCACCATACCCCCCAATTGCTCAAAGGGCACTCCTCCTGGGGCTGCCCATCACTCTACCATCTCATTCCAAAAATTGCATGTCTTAGAGCCCTCTGTGTGTGTGGGATTGTGGGATTGGTTAAACTACATGTATAAAAAGAAAAAAAAATGAGTGTAAAAAGAATTTCCCCTTGTGAGATCAAGAAAGAAGTTAAGTTACTGATTCTAAGTTTCCCATAATGCAAAAGTATTATCTTCCCTTGCCTCCTGAATACGCACTTCTTTCAAAGATTATTCCAAACTTAATACATTCTCTTTAAATGAAATGAAGGTTGAGATAACTGATGAGGAGGCTCTTCACAGGCGGAGGAGTACTCTGTGGGATGCTCCTTTAACTTACAACGTCCATCATTTTTAACCTCATCTCATGTTGTGCTGCATTCCCATTACCACCCGGAAGAAAAGTTAGTGAGAGCAAGTAGGGATTTTCTTCTCAGACCACTTCAACTTGTTTTGAAAGTTTTGTTTGATTGATACGCTTAGGTGTCAGAACACATTTCCCCACTAGGTGGCTCCCTAAAGAAAGAAACAGGGAAGACAGTGTGATGATGTGCAACTTTATGCACCACAAGTCAGTTTCCATCTTGTCAGGTCAAATTGTCCCTGTATTTCCAGCGTGAGTGCACAGATGTAGATTCATTACATCTCTGCTAAGAGTGTTTGCCGCTGAAATACTGAGAGAACTCGAGCTTTACAGAGTCCTGCCAGCTGCACTAGTGGTTGATATACCCTCTCTCTCTCTCTGTGTGTGTGTGTGTGCGTGTGTGTGTACACGTGTGCATATGTGTTGCAGGTCACTGGCTTTGGGAACGAAGACAGGCTACAAACTGTTTTCTCTGACCATGGTGGAAAAACTGGACTGCATCCATGAGAGTGGTAAGTATGGATCTGTGATTCTGCACCTTGCATCAGTGTGGGCTAAGCTAAAGCCGTCCCCACATTTCTCTCCTCTGGTACTTGGACATTGTAGGGCAGATACCGAGTATTGATCGGATACCAGTGCATTTACAAAAATAACTTGTATAAGGTATTTTGAAAAATAAATGATTTATCATCTAATTGAACAGTCTTAACTATGGGAAATACAAATTAATAAATCGAGGAAGACACAACAATCAGCACTAGTGCAATCCCACAAAATTGAAGTCTTGCATACGGCACACCTTGCACACACATTTTAGCTAGCTCTGCTAATGCTACACTACCAGAAATCACATTTTCTTCTCTGCTCTAAAAACAGTATTTTCCAGTGGCAGTGCAGCGTAACTGCTGTTTTGGCACTGCAAAGAAGAGGTGATGTCAAGGAAAAGAAAACTGCACTTTTATCTTGGTGAAAATAATATCTGGGCTTTTAACTAACAGTACATTTGAGTGTAAACATTATTAAACAGGTGCTGGTAATGGTTTGCTGAGATTTGTCTTGTCGGCTTAGATGTCAAATAATGACAGCATGAGCATCAGAATCGTATCTCTGCTAGATCATCGACTTTCATTCATTCTGGTGCACGTGACATTCTGCTTTTGTGTTAACCGAGCTGATGTAACAGCTCGTCCGTCTCAGACTCCCCTGTCCACCACGTCAGGTCTCCTCAGGTTTCCATACAAGGAAGTGATAATGGGAGAGTACGTCATACACCGACCACAGTGTATATTCTGTTTTGTCCATGAATAGCTCTTCTTAAATGTCAAATGTATGAGATTTTAAACTTTAATACAGCAGCCAAAAAAACGTCTTTCTATGTAACAATATAGTGGAATAATGCTGTCCTGAGCAGACCTAGAATGAAGGCCCACTCCATCAGGCTTCTCTGTTCTTTGTTTTGGTAGCGTGTTAGTGCACATGAGTCCCTCCCTGTGAACTGTTAGAAAGCACCATGGCTACTGCTCTATTTAAAAGTATTGGAAACGTGACGCCCGGGTGGAAACTGATTTTCAGCCCTTTTCTGTGCTGTGACATCTTTCAGACGCACAAACGCACACATTGAGGCTGTGGTCACACTTACCATTTTCACATTTAAATGTTACACATCCTCAAACTAATGTTAATGTTCGACAAAGATAACACATGTTAGCACAGAATGTAGTTTTTAATTAATGACTTCATTTATTAAAGAAAAAGGCTTTTCAAACCTTCATGGCCCTATGTGAAAAAGTAATTTCCCCTCAGTCTCTGAATCAACCAATGATCCAACTTGAATTTATATTCAAGTTTCTAAGGATTACTGCAGGACCTGTTCACTGGTATTGTGTTGTAGGCTAAAAGGTCTAAAAAACAACAACACATGATGCCGTAAAATAAAAGAATTCAACAATGAATGTGAACCAAAGTCATTGAAACCTCAGTCTGGAAAGGGTTACACAGCCATAGGCATGATCTCAAGTGAGCCATGGGGAGAGCAGTTAAGGTCAGTGTGGATGATTATTAAAGACATTGGACTGCTTTACTGCTGCAGGATCTGGACAACTTGTCTTCATTGATGAAGTCATGAATTCTGCTCTCTACAAGGGATCCTGAAGGAGAATGTCCGCCTACTACGTAGAAATGAAAACATCAAATTGCCAACCTGGACATGATTTTTGAATTTACTGAACAAAAAACATTTAATGTCATTGTAAAACTAAAGTATACGCTTAAACTAAGATCATGAAATTTCTTGCATAATATCGGCCTCAACACATAACTTAAGGTGGAAAAAGACAAAATGTTAGGTTTGGGCTAGAATGCTCCCCAGTTAAAATCAGGGTAGACCGAGTCATGGTGCAGGTTTTTTTTTTTTTTTTTTTTTTTTTTTTTTACCACATGCATCTTTTTTGTTTTCCATATGAGGTATGATATCATAAAGGGGTGTTTGGTTTGTCATTTGCTGAGGCGTTATCTCCATGTGAACCAGCTCAGTCTATCAAATTAGATTCATTCTTTTCTAATCAGTTCTTTCAAACACAAACACAGTGGGCGATGCAGCTCAGGTTGTCCACTAAATGATACCTCCCGTCCACAAGCCGTCCTGATGGCTGCTGTATGAAATAAGTAATGTGAAATATCTGGGAGAAACCCAGAAACTGGATGGCAGCAGGATAAATGCTTATAGTTGATCAAATAAGAGTGGACAATTCCTCAACAGGGACACTAAAGACTCATTGCAAGTTTGAAAGTTGTCTCGTTTTAGTTGTTGCTGTTGTTAACTCCATGGGTTGTGTCTGGACAGGCAGAGACTGGGTTTTTAGAAACAGTGATGCAGTCACCCACATTCACTTCCTCATTGGTTCCTCTCAGTTCAATCCTGACTCCCAGCTGTGAAGGCAGTTTTTCACACTTATGTAATAATTCCACTTTTTATAACACAGTTTAAATCAAATAAAACATATTCTATCTACCAAAGAATATCACACTATGACTCAGACACCAGTCGGCTGCATTGTTGTCTTGTTGGCTCTCCTTTTCACAAGGTAATTGGGTGTGTTTCGGGGAACTTTAGGGTTCTTTTCATAATCTTGCCATCTTGTTATAGATCTTGCAAATGGTCCTAAATGTTCCTAAACACAGCTACAGTCACCAGTTTAATGTGCAAGGAAGCCTGACATCTTAACCAAGTTCCTGCTAAATCACAGTGTAACCGTATCAGAATAAGAGAATAATTATGATGAATGTTTGCTGACTCGATAACTGTGTGAGGAAGGAAATTCTCTGTGTAAACAGAAGCAGTTATTATCTCGGCAGTGAGACCACCAAAAGGCCAACGTCTCCACATCAGAACGTTCACTGTGCTGTTGGAAGGTTTCAGCGGCTGGATGCTCAGACAAGGCCGGGCCTGCAGTAATAACACCGTGCTCATGTCTGTTGGCAGCAGCCTCCCATGGAAAAGAATAGTTTTCTCAGAATGGGTGTGTGTATGAGCTGTACTCTGTAGAGATTGCTAGAGACCTGGTTTATGTCCACTGGACCAACAGATCTTGGATAAGGTAGATGTAAATATAACAAAAAGTTTTTGTGTCAAAAATATAGGAAACCTTGTCAGGTATCCCAAACGTGAAAGGTTTGATAAACATGCAAAATGTAAAGGTCTAATGAAGCATGGATATGGCATTGAACAGGTGTAGCGATGTCCTGACACTTTGTGCTCCCGACTCTGAGTAATCTTTTACATTGAGTACTATAATCTGCCAACCAAATTCAGTACTGTATTTGTTGATTTTATCTTTCATATTACAGCTCTACAGCAATCTGAGAGGACAATAACATTTCATCAACATGTACAGTATATACAGCTTTTTGAATCTGAACAGTACAATAGCTCTGCCTTAAAAATACAATCTGCATTTCAGCTTGTCTTTAATAGTTTTCTTATAATATGCATTTAGTATTATATGTGTGCATTGTGGGTTATCTGTGCCAGGAAGCTTCTAGCAGGAGTCAAGTCATCTCCAACCTCAACGCAATGTTGAAGTTCTGGTCAAACAGCAGAATGTTAATCTGAGCACTTAAACACACAATGGTGTGATGTTTTAGCTTCACTTTCAGTGGCTGTTATGTCTGCCATCTTTACACACGGGTATTAAACTGTTTCCATCACTGACTGCTTGCCTCTGTTCTTCACCAGTAGAGACTCCCGATGTCTACATCGTGGAACGTCTCTTCTCCAGCAGTCTGGTAGTCGTGGTGAGCATCGCCATGCCGCAGCGAATGAACATCTATCACTTCAAGAAGGGGACAGAGATCTGCAACTACAGCTACCCCAACAACATCCTTTCTGTCAAGCTCAACAGACAGGTGAGCAACCCTGTCTCACACCATCTTCACCAGTTGCTGACCTGTTAGAAGATATGGAATTAAAGACAAAGCACTGTTCTCATATTGTGGTGTTGAGCTAGTTTGTCTCATTACTAGAATTACCTTACATTTTTCGTTGTAATATAATCCTGTTTGGCTGCTTAGCTAAAATACTTGGACAAGCAAGACAAAGGCTGATGTTCTGCTTTACTCTGCATTGACACCTGTGGGTGTTTGAGGGTGTAGCACAGTCCCAGCTACATTCTGTGTGTATCCAAAGAAGAAACAATTAATAATCAGCATTAGTGATTTGTCCTCTAACATTTGAACAAGAACCAGTAGTTCAATGTGAAAACAGTCACCCGCCCAGAAGCATATTATACATCATGTAGATGGGTCAAAGTAGGCAAGATTCAAACAAGCTAAGAATATACAGTGGATTGTCCTCTTCTTTTCCTTTAGATTCCAAGTCTTAGATGGTTTGGTTAAGTTGGAATTACAAGAGACAGAAGAAGCAGGGTCTCGACCTTACTATATAAGGTGCCCTGAGATAATGTATATAATGGCGCCATATAAATAAAATTAAACTGAATTGAACTGGATCCTCCGGTTCCCATGATCAAACTCAACTGCATGCTATATGTCTGAGTCAGCCTTCCTGTCCATCAGTTATCTTGACTCTTGACCTTTTAGAGTCTGAGACAGCTAAAATAAACCACAGCCCTTCCTGACCTGCTGTCTCTGTTTGCTCACACTCAAGCTCGTCTAGAAGATTTCCTCCAAATATGTAGTAAACCATAACATCCCTTTGTTTCCATCAAAGGACATGATTCATTTTAAGCACTTCACCACCAATGGGAACATGTAAACAACGGTGCCAGTGACATCAGAGGCAGATGGTTCCACTTAGTGAGCCAAGGACACAATGTTCCAAATATCTTTCAAATGTAAAAAGTACATGACTTGATTTGATGACTAAACAAACACGCTCCACTGTAAACACAATCCAGCTTGTAATGATCTTGTTGTTCCGCTGAGGTTAAGGCAAGAGAGCTCAGTACTGCAGCAGCCTGAGTGAATGTGACCTTCATCTCAATGCATCTCAACCATGAACTCGATAATGATCTCTGTGGAGACAAAACTACTGATGGCATGATGCCTCACTAAACTACGATGGGGAAGATGGTTAACATCAGCTGCTTGTCACCTGATTGTTACCGTTAGCACTTTGCCAATCTTACATCATACACTTGGAAAAGTTGGCTACTAACCATAACAATTGTAATTTTGTGGTGATTTGATCAGACATTCATTTGTCAACACTGTAATAGGAGCCTTAAAAAATGACCTAATCAAAAGCTACCCACCTCGTAGAATTAAAATCTACTTAAAGGTACAGTGTGTATAATTTATTGATATCTAGTGTTGAAGCTGCTTGTTGCAGCTGAACACCCCTCACCTCACCCTCTCCTTCCAAACATGAAAAAGAACCTGTGGTAGCTTCAGTTGTCATAAAAACTCAAAAGGTGTTTAGTTTGTTCAGTCTGGACTACTGTAAAAAACATGGCGGCCTCCGTAGAGAGGACCTCCTCCATGTAAATATAAAGTATTTAAATATAAAGGGTCTTTTCTGGGGTAAAGAAAACTACAATTCATACAATTTAGATGAAACCAACTAGTGAAAACATCATGAGGATTATTCTACATTACATTTCTGCCAATAGATCCCTTTCACCTAAATCTTACACACTGGACCTTTAAGGTCTGTATTTCAGTATACAGTTCTGTCAAAGTTTGACGCACCTCAGCTGTTAAGCTTCTTATCCATCCCAAATTCCCACCATGTGCTCAGTCCCAGATTCATTTGACAGCAGGACAATGAGCCCAAACATACAGCAACTGATGGTCCAGCCCCCACGGACTCTGATCTCAACATCCTGCAGTCACAGTGGGATCACATGAAGGAACAGACTCTGAGACAGGCTAAATTTCAGACTAATTTACACACTATCCAGCCATAGAGCATATGGATCCCATCAATATTGAAGTTGCTGTTTTATAGATCTCCAGAAAGTGATCCACATGATATGTGGGGATCATCTCCCAGGCTCTCTGTGCCATGTTTGAACTCAGCAGCTCACTCCTTCACAACACTGTTGCCATGTCTTTGTGGACCCTCTTGGGCGACAAACCTAAAGTGCCGACTGGCAATTTTCAATGACCAGAAACAGAAATACCACAAAAAGCTAAGAGTAGCAAAGAGTAGGTTTGTAATAAGAGCTGTTTTTAAGAGAATGCAGTTTTCAGGCACCTCCGCCTTGGCCTTGTCCATTTTTATATACAGACCAAGGGTACAACAAAGAACCCGTTAGCTCTGTGAGGACACAAAAGACTCTAACAGAAATATACTCTTTAAAACATTTGCGGTTGGTGCATGTGTGGTGTCCCAGCCACCCCAAAGCTTTATTCAGGGCTGAATTTTGATTGTCCCCCTCAATAGAAATTTTCAAAAGTAAGCTGAAAACATATTTGTATTCATTAGCCTTTCAATGTGCCTAAATTGTTGTGTTGTGTAGTATTATGATCTTTGTTATTATTGTTATCACTGCTTATCTGTTACCACTTTTTTTTGTAAAGCACTTTGGATCAACAATGTTGTGTTTAAAATGCTAGATAAATAAAGTTGTAGTTAAAGAGAAAGTAGAATTAAGGAATTAATATCAAATATTTAAATGAGCAAATGCTTTAGTTTTTTTCTTGGTTTTGTGTGCTCTTTAAAAATTCTCATTAGTGTGTGTTTACTCCTGAATGTGTATGAAAAAGGTGCAGGAGTCATGTGTAACTGCAGCGGTGAGGAAATGACAGTGAACACTGACTGCAGCACTGTACAATTAGCTGAGGGCTGCTGTGTCTTGCAGAGACTCGTGGTGTGCCTTGAAGAGTCCATTTATATCCACAACATCAAAGACATGAAGCTGCTCAAGACTCTTCTTAACACTCCGTCCAACCCCTCAGGTGAGACAAGCACAAGATTCACACATACACACCTTTTCCGTGGTGCAGAAATGATGTCTGACCGGATAAATCCAGTTTATTATGACAGCTATCTACATCCAGGTGAACTTATAACACTGTACCTGTTACTGTAGGTTATTGCATCATAAATGTCTATGAGTCTAAAGTCCAACTTATCTGATTTATCTACTATAAATGAAAGTGTCACTGACCCTCTGTCTGGTTGGAAATTCTACAACCTCTTATCTGATAGTCTTCAAGCTTGGTGGACATTTTACAGAGGAAGTGTAGTGTTGAATGTGAAGGGTTTGGGAGGGGGAAAATCATAAAATGCAAAAATAAAATATAATTATAAGATATGTATAAGATATGTCACAGCCCAGCATTTATTTAACATTTACATTGATTTAAACCAAACCATAATATAATCAATACAATGTTTAGGAATGAGTAGGTCAGTAATGTACAGCATTACTCCCCCAGAGAGAGCGAGGCTTATAAAGGCAGAGCTCCACGGGCCCATACGTGACCTCACCTCCACCTACAGCTCAGAGTAATGAAGCGCAGGGACACCTAGTGTCCAGGTGAGGGTGGAGTGAAACACTTCACTTTCATTCTGTTTGGGAACACAACTGTATCATGGCAGGTGTGTTGCTTGTAAGTGCAGTGTTGAATGTGTGTGTGTTGAGTTGTGTGGGTAATGATCTCAATAAAGCTGCAAGCTGGATCAATACAGGTCAGAGAATCAGCCCCGACCAGCAGACACATTCCAACCAATGTAATTCCTTTCAGGATTATTTTAGTGATTTTATTATTACTCTAGATTCTGTCACTTTAAACCTTCAAAAAGAGTCAGCATTATTGTTGCACGTATGTGAACAAATGTACTCACTCTGAAGTGAAGGGAATGGGACACTTGAACACTGCTCAGGCCTGGTATTAAGGTGTGTCTTGGGAGACCTGATGATGAATGTGCCTTAGACACATTGAGATGTGTTCACTCAGACCAGATCCAGAAGTGTTCTGGGACCAACATGGACACTTTCTTATAGCAGTGGGGCCGCACATGTGTCCTGGGCATCAATGAAAGAGCTGTGTGTATTTGCATATAGAACAGGAAGGTCAGATCTGATCAATCAAATGTCTGGTGTGACGTGACAAATGTAGAGTTGTCCACTTGGGATTAGTTCACCCAGGATAGTTATTCTTTCTCTCTGATCATCTTAAATCTTGAATCCTCCCACAGGTCTCTGTGCTCTCTCTATCAATCATTCCAACTCCTACCTGGCGTACCCTGGCAGTGCCACCATTGGGGAGATTATAGTGTACGATGCCAACAATTTGGTAAGCATCGTTGATTCACACCTCAGACACTACCCTTCACCCTCAGTAATTTCGAATGGTGTCAGCTGACTCAGCTACAGTTTGTCTGTCTAACAGTCAAGTTCTGTCTTACATCACTGTACTTTCAAGAATTCTCCATAGTTTCTATCCTTTTTGGTATAACAAAGTGCAAGTGCAGTGCATTGTACATACATACTGACAGATTAAAACTAACATCATGTCATTAGGGGACATGTGCCAAAATCTGCTATTTTTTTATTACATTTTTTCTTCTCATAACTGAAGACTGTGTTACGCAAATCTTACACTTTGAGATTTATTTAATTTAATTCATCTATGTACATTTGTTGTTATAATACCATATAATTTTGTTATAACTCTCTCTTGTTACATGATAGGAAATTCAGTGCATTGTTATAACATCACAAAGATCCAGTCATTGGCATAATAATGTGGTTTGTATCGCCCCAATTTATAAATTTTTTTTATTGAATTTCCTGTGAATATGTTTAAATGATACAAAAGTAATTGTTAAAATGACAGAAGTAATAAAATATAAAGTTAACTGAGAAATCGGCTTTAAATCCTGGCTTTATAAAAAGATTTCAGTTTTAATATATCCTTTAGATATAAATTAAAATGTGACAAGACTTCACGTTTGTCTGTGATTTTAAACTGAAGGGCACTCACACCTCAAAGTGAACTTTCTGCTAAACACACTCCAAGATACTGTTTTAGCTGAAGCAGTTTTATCTCAGGTCGTCTTCTGTTCACTCCTGACCCAGGTCGCTCGGATGGTACCTAAGCTGGTGTCTCTATGTCCTAAGAGATACAGAACAGTATAAGAGTGATCTGGGTTGAACTTGAGGGGTATGGGCGGGCACTGTTGAACACACACCAGGAAGGGTATCTCTCTCTGAGATTGTCTGGTGACTCATGGTCGGATCATATCAGGTCTGACATAGATATGGCTTGGTAGTGTAGTTTTTGTGATGCAAGAAAATGTTGATCTTTTAAAACGGGACAAAGCAACCAGCTCTTCCTGTTCCTCCACTGACAGGTCAAACCATATCGTCTCTTTTAACCTGGAATTACATCAGCTGACCTCAGCCGCATGCTGACTGTTCAGATGAACTCAGGTCGACAAGGCTCACCCTCCTCCTGTCTTTTTCTGAGGACTCAGTGTTTTACATTGTGTCATGAGACTAGGAGACATGTCCACAGACACAATTCAAGAAAAGTAATACATTATATCGGAGCCCAACATGTACCGGCTGTCACAGCCTCTTTTCCAAACTTTAGCTGCTGTCCTTTGTCGGGGATGAGCTGTGGTATCTGTGCATTCTGCATACCTGACTGCCTTACAGCTACCACACCACATATTATATATTATTAATATAGAGATATTATTATATTATTACAATTTTTATCAATTATATTTTAAAATACTTAAATCAAATAATTATTTATAATTCTAAAGACAGAAAATCCATTAAAACAATAATATGGTGGTTTTGGAGCAGGTTGTTCCTGCCAGCTGACTTCTTTATAATTAGGAGCACTGACAGAAGTCTTTGTTAGTGCAAGGAGCACATATGGTAGATATATAAAGGCAGGGAGGAGAGTTGAACTTCACAAGTGCAAGTCCATATCTTGAGACTTCAAGTCCAGATGGCTTCTTCCAGCATTAAAATGAACCGTGTCACAAAGCTAATAATGTGGAAAAACACTCTTTCTTTCTTTCTTCTCCTCTTTTTCATTTCAGAACACAGTGGCAATGATCCCAGCACACGACAGTCCTGTGGCAGCTCTCACCTTCAACGCCTCAGCCACCAAACTTGCGAGTGCCTCAGAGAGAGTAAGAAATCACCAACCTTATCACGTCTCATAACTCTGAGATGGACAAAGAGCTAGCTCACATGTTGGTCCTATTAATGATGTTCACGGTCCCCAATTCAATTCAGATTCAATCTTATTTGTATAGCGGCAAATCATAATATACATTATATGATGGCACATTACATAGAAGGTCGAGAAACCCAACAGTAACTCACATCCATTTCAAGGGGTTTCATAAACTAAGGCTGAATGTGCATCCAGTTTATTCTGGATATTCACTGTCCCCATGAATCTTTTCCTTCAATCCCACCACCAGGCCTTAAAGGGACAGTGTGTAGAATTTAGTGATATCTAGTGTTGAAGTGTCATGTTGCAGCTGAACACCCCTCACCTCACCCTCTCCTTCCAAACATGAAAAAGAACCTGTGGTAGCTTCAGTTGTCATAAAAACTCAAAAGGTGTTTAGTTTGTTCAGTCTGGACTTATGTAAAGAACATGGTGGCCTCTGTAGAGAGGGTCCCCTCCATGTAAATATAAAGTATTTCAATATAAAGGGTCTTTTCTGGGGTAAAGAAAACTATAATTCATACAATTTAGATGAAACAAACTAGTGGACACATCATGAGGATTATTTTACATTAAATATCTGCCAATAGTTCCCTTTCACCTAAATCTTACACACTGGACCTTTAATACTAACTTTTACAAGAGGAGTTCCACCATCTGATGAGCAGATAATCATGAAAACACTTTTATACTTGTCATTTTGTAAGTTTCTACTCAGAGTCCTAAAGTATTGATTATACTTTGTTAATTAATACTTAAAATCTAGATTATGTCAGATAAGACCACTTTATTTATACCTAATGGGGAAACTAATTTGCCACCACAGACAAAAACATTCAATTCACAGTACACATCAAAATATGAAAACACTAACAATCCATTTGAGACATAATTAAGAAATAAAACACGTAAAAGACCTTCTTAGTCTTTGACGGCCTCTGAGAGCTCAATTGAAATCATCACAGCCTTTAATTCGTGCCACTCTGTCCTGACACTTTGCATCAAGCCGGACTACTTAAGATTCCTTTTTATTTTCCCACAATCATGCACACACAGCACTACAAGCAACATGGGGGGAAATTTGACCTCTGCATTTAATCCATCCGTGTGAACACAGCACGCACGGAACACAATACACACAGTGACCACACAGCGCAGTGGGCAGCCATGAAAGCACCCGGGGAACTTGTTCAGCTCTGTTAGTAAAAACAAAACCATTGGTATATTGTTTCTTTCAAAGCTTTTGTATTGTTGCGTAGGAGAGCAAGGGTTGATAGCAGAGCGTGAGAGCTTTACTCTTGTTAGATGTAAGATTATAAATGGAAAGACGAGGGAAGAGCAGCTGCTCTGCATCACCAAGTCCCAAAGAGAAATCTCTGGCCACTGCATCTCAATGCAATTGTCGCTATAATACACTGTATGTACTGTACATTTGTGAAGTATTCAGCTGTTGTAAACCAATGCAAAGATAACCCCTGACTGTCCACCTGTGTCTGCAGGGCACCGTCATCCGAGTGTTCTCCGTCCCTGAGGGCCTGCGTCTGTTTGAGTTCCGCCGGGGCATGAAGAGGTCAGATAACCACACATGGTCTAATGTTCACATCTCATGCTGGTTGTTTGGCTTTGTCCATGTTGGCTCAGTGCCAGGGCCAGCACTTGGTGATCCAGATGACTGATTGATAACTGTGATCAGGACGGACACACACAGTTTGTGTGTGTGTGTGTTTATATTTGTCTTGTCTGTCTGCAGGTACGTCAGTATAAGGTCTTTATCCTTTAGCCCTGATGGCCAGTTCCTCTGTGCTTCCAGCAACACAGAGACAGTGCATATCTTTAAAATGGAACAACTGGGTCCAAGGTACACACACACACACACAGATCTCAGTTTTTATTACTGAACATAATTAATTAACCTTCATGTACCTCTGGCCCCTGCTCCTGTCAGCTTTAATAACATTGCACTCGTTATTAGGTAAATCAGGTCATTTGTACTTAAGGAAGCTTGTCCCTGTGTCTACAGTGGAGGGGACGAGGCTGCCACTTGGACAGCCTACGTGGGGAAGATGTTCTCAGCAGCCAGCAGCTACCTCCCTGCTCAGGTATCTGGTATGATGAGCCAGGACCGGGCCTTCGCCACTGTTCACCTCCTCTTGTCTGACCAGAGGAACGTCTGCACCTTGGCTATGTGAGCGGCTCTGTTCTGGCTTGTACTGTAGATTTCTAGCATTCTTTCTTACTGAGTGAATGTGTCATTGTCAGAGGCAGTTACATGTAGGCCTTGGGATCTATATTAATATCATTAACCAATTAACACGTCAACACAAATATCTATTCTAAACAAAAGGCTGATGTGATGCTTCAGAATCAATGACATCTATTAAATCACTCATCAGAACACATCTTTGTTATGTAACCTTTTATTTATTTTAGCACAAAATCTTATTGCAGGATTATTTTATT